AAGTACGGAAGAAAAAACAAGTTCAAACAAAATGAGAATGCAACCAGAAATCCTGATGGATGCCCTAGTTGACTCTTGATCAGAATGCCCCCATTACACATTGGATGTTGGGTGTCTAATTGGATTAGGGTCCTTACCCCCATTTGAACCCCATTTCTCAATCGTTTCTCGTGTCAGGACTCTCTTGTCAATGAGCTTTTCTATCTCCTCCATTAATGGTATGTATTTGTCAGTAGGATGACCTAATGCCCCCAGATGAAAATCGCAAGCACTATTCGGGTCATTGCCATAAGTAGAAGGGCTAGTCTTCATTATCAAAGACCTTGGGGGTGAGATATCGACTCTTGTTTAAAGGGGATAATAGGTCAGAAATGGGAACCTGAAAAACCTTGAGGGCCGTGTTTTTCCAAGACATCTTTTGAGTCCAATCTCGAATTACTTCTCTTTTAATTTTCTTCTCAGTATTCCCCGTTTCATTCTCCTTTTTTAGCATCGAATAATTTTCGAGAGTTGAATCCCTTAAATTCTCCCCACATATTTTACTCTCTTGGATTTTGATATTTCCTTTTTTCAGGTATTGTTTTATATGCACTTCATTTGTTTGACCTCATTAACTCCATTATGGGGTCTGAATCCCAATTGTTTAACTAAAATCGACTGATTATTGACATCCACCTCTATAACTCCATGACTCAAAAAATCTTTGACTTGTCGTTTGAAGTGACCACAATTCCTGATAGAGTGTCCTCGAGCTCCGGCATGATATTCACAAGAAACTTTCTCATTATACCAACTCGGATAAGGTGGTAACTGCGGCTTAGCCAAACGTGGAGTAATCAGTTGGGCCTTGAGCAACTTGGAATATATTTTTTGTATGAAGATGGAGAAAAACTGAGTGGAGACTTCATTTTTCCTTTGCCAATATTATGATCACCCTGAAGACTTAGTGAAGGATCATTGAGATATTCTTTTTGAAAGTTCAACTTTGGATAAACGTCTTGTGGGAAACATTGGTTTGCATATTTCCCCTCATTGATAAGTTTTAAGTATCTGGGAAGTTTAGGTTTTCCATCTTCAAAGCATAACAATCCTTTTGCGATGAGGTTTTGAACCTTTAATCTCATAGCCACACAACTTTCTGTAGAGTGACTAAAATCTCCAAGATGATAATTGCATGAATTTTTAACACCTTGCCTATTTGGACGCCAATAAGGATTAGACTTTGGAGGAATAGGTGTTAGAATGTCACTTTCAAAGAGAAATGGTAACAATTCTTAATATGACCCTGGAATCTGAATAAGAGATATTTTCCTCTTTTTCTTCTTGTTCTTTTTAGCCTTCTTGACTGGCATTTGAACTTCTTCTATGCTTTTCTTCTTTGAGTTAGACTCAATTTTCGTGCTAAAAGTTTCACTCTCAATTGTGGCTTTTCCTAGCTTGATTTCTGTCACATTTTCTAGAATCACAGCCGATGGTTGGAATTGACTTGGATTACCTTATTCCTCAGCATGTTCTAGATTATTTGTTGTCACCATATTGGTTTCACAAACAACATTCAAAGTCTCATTGAAAGCCTCTATAGCATGATCCTCTGGTGGCTTCTCTCCATGAATCATGTGCATCAATTTAGACATCTGCTCCCTTTACTCGTCCTGAAACTTCTTTGCTTGATCATTTATTTCTCACTGAATCTTGACAAGTTGCTCTTGGAGTTTTTTGATTCCATTGACACGTGCTGAAATCTCCTTCATGGATCTTTTCATCTCATCAGAATTTGACATGTTTTGATCAGTATAATTATCACTAGGATTTGACACTGTGACTTGAGTTTTATTGGTATAGAAGTCTACTTGGTGACTTGGAAGCTTGTGGGGCGAAATGAGTCTTTATGGATTAACCTGTGCTTTCATACCTTCAGAGGCTTATAGGGTCAAGGAAATTTTTTCTTTGCCTATTTCTTGGTTATGTCCATTAAGCTTTGCTACAATTTGATTAATCAGATCATCTTGGTTTTCGAAGATACAATCTATGGTGGCCTTTTGCGCCTGCTCCATTTTAACTTCCCACTCTGCTTGCAACTTTTGCAAACTCTCTTCCAATTCTTTCTTCAGTTGTTCAAATTTTGCATCCATTTTCAGTACTGCGTGAATATAATTACCATTAGAAGCAACTATTCAAGGTTTCATACAAGATATGATTAATATATAAAAATGCTTAAATGAATACTATGTAAGATACAATGATGCATGAAATATTAGAGGCATTGATCCGAAAATGTGTTTGTTATTATAAATAATTCTTATTGGGGACAAAAGTGTTTTATCTTTTAAGATACAACAATATCAAAGGTATATTCTAAATAAATCCTCTAGACCCCGAATGGCTTGTAACAGGTTGACTAGTCCTCTGCCTTTGTCTGTCACTGGTTGAATACCCTATCGAACAACTATGGCTTCTCTGGCTGAACTGTGCAAGTGTTGAGCTACTTTTTGTACTTGTTACCAGAAATATCGAATGACTGCATCTCTGGCTTTCATCCTTCATGTTCTCTAACGGAAACACCATTTAAGCCTTTTATCAAAGTTTATCTGTTTGTTTCTTGAATTCGTCAACAATGGCCTCCAGTCTAACCTGTCGTTTTGCCATCCTTTTTGTTGTCTTTGAAAGGACTCTCCAAGTCAGTAGCCTTCATCTTGCTTCTACAACCTCTTCCAGTCAGTTCTTCAAAGGTTGACTTTCGTTGTGCTTGATGTAGACCCGGTTCATTCTGATTCCCACATAATGCCACGATGTAGTATACTCTTCGATTGTGGGCATCACGTCTTCTGGATTGAATGTGACACATAGTCGCATTGTAGACTGTTCTCTATATTTTCATCTCTTGTATTACAACCCCTTTGTCCATTAATGCAAATTATTCATATTTAACAAACACGTTTTTGTGGATCAACACCTCTTGCATTATGTTATGACAATGCAAATGCAATGCAAAGAAATATAAAAAAGTGACGCAAAAAAAAAGAGATAAGTTAGTGTACGCAAAAAAAAAAGTGAAATTAGTTAGTACATGTAAGATAATTGGTACAAATAAAAATGTTATTCAAATATGAATATAACACCTACCCAGTCATGATATCTACCCGAGCATGCTTTTATTAGATAGTAATCCTACCCAAACATGCTTTATACCCATAAAGATGTATTTACAAGAAATTAATCCTAACCGCATGGTATCTAGTTCGCATGCTTTGAACAGAAAGTAAAGCAGGAAAGAAAGTAGTTTAGGGCTTGGAATGAGGTTTTGGGGTAGGCTCTAATTTTCTATAGTCTCCCGGTTTAGGTTCTAAAAAATGGTACCCGAGTTCTCCTTGCTGGTGCCCCCTTGGGCTTGCCAGACCTTTAGTCCTAGGACCATTACAAGCTTGTGTGGACTAAGTTAAACTCGAGAGGATACCTTCTCTTATGCCCATATGGAGAATAAATTCACACGAAAGCATAAGGTATATGAATCCCGAAGGTTACTTGCTAGGCCCATACGAAGAATAAATTCCCACGAAGGCGTCGCTTTCACCTCCACTTAAAAGGGTTCAGAGCTCGGTATAGAACCTTAGATGAAAAAAGTTAAAGATATGAAATCATTGAAAAAACGTCAGTACAACTATTTATTTAAAAACTAATCAAAGATAAATAATTATAATCGAATAAATAAATTAAAACTTAAATTTTTATTTTCACTTAAAAAGACAACCGAAAATTAATTATGGCTTGACTCACTTACCTCTCCCCAGCGGAGTCGCCAAGCTGTCGCAACCGCCTTTCGGGTGGGCCTGGAATTTGGCTTTGACTTGGAATAAAATATTGGAGTCGCCACCGATCATTTATTTTTCGTAAAAAATTTGGTTGATCGGATACCATCTTACCTGATCTGCGTTTTACCAGAAAAATGTCAGATTCGGGAGTCGGTTACAGTCAAGGAAGGATTAACACCCTTGAACTACCCTTTCGGTACCATTTAATTTGTCGGTTGTCTTAATTGCGAAAATTGAAATTAAAATTAAAATTTAGAAATTCGATTCAAATTACTTACCTTTGATTGATTAAAATTATCCTAAAAAGATCATAAATAAAGTAAGAAAATAAAACAAACAAACACAAAGAGTTAGTATTAAAATCGAAATAAAAAATAGTAACTAAAAGGAATAAAGGAAAATTCAAATTATAAATTAAATTGGAAATAATTAAAATCTATGGATCAAATTAATTTTAGGAACGAGCTGCAAAATAAAAACAGAAACTTAAGGGATTAAATAGCAAAAGAAAAAGAAGTAAAGTACAAAAATAGCACAAATAGAAAATTAAAGGATTAAAATAGTATTAATAGATCTAATAAATATAAATGAACAAATAAGAGCCTCAACAATTAATTTAAAATAAATACAAGAACCTAAAATCTAATTATGTTAACTAAAAATGCAAGAAAAACATAAGATTGTTACTAAATAAAAATAAACAAAAATCTAAATGCAAAAATTAAAACAACAGTGACTCAATTAAAAGTTAATAGTGACTAAAATAAAGGAAATGAAAGTTACAGACATAAATCATCACAAAATATAACATATTGGTGATCGAATTGAAAATAACGAAAATAAAGTGCCTAAAATAAATTAAAATAAAAACATAAAACTTTGGTGACTAGAATATAAAAACAAGGTAATATTTTAGGGACTTAAACATGATTAAATGCAAGGATTTGGTGACTGATTTCTAAAATACGGCGATGGTGAAGTGGCTTAAACATGAATAGACCAAAACTTTAAGAGACCAATATAGAAGATGGCAAGAAATTAAATGACCTTATGTGCTATTAACCCAAAATTAAAATAAAAGCACTTTTTCACTCCCCTAATTCTAGAACACGTGAACCCATTCCCTTTCCCACTTTATATCTTCATTATGCGATGGGAACTAACATTCTCCCCTTTTTTTCAACACTCAAACTCTCCCCACGACAGACTGCTCACCAACAAATCCATATTCATCGCTTCGACTCTAAAACCGATGACAACGATACCCCAACTCCGGCGACGCTCCCTCGACACAGGTAGGATTCGTTCTATCCATTTATATTTTTTTATTATTTGTTTTAACAGAGATCGTTGGATATTATAAAGCATGGTAGTTATTTATATACGATATACATGAGTATTTTGAGTTTTTTTCTTTTAAAGGAAAAATAAAAATCATATTTTTGCTGTTAAAATAAAAACAAAAACAAAATAAATATTGAACTTAAATAGCAAATAAATGCATGAAAAGGAAAATATATTCGAATAAAAAAAAGCCAAATAACCTTGAGAATATTGCTTGTACTTCTCTTCAAACATCCAGCGAAAATCCTCTCCCTTGATTACATTTTGATTCGGCTATTTATAGCCATCTTACATATCTAACATAATAAATAAATTATACACTTGTTGTGTAATGCTGCTTTGAATATAATATCTCATGACTTTATTCCTTGTGAATGGCAGAAAACATGTATAAGTGGAACGGCGGCAGAGCACTTTGTCATCCAATTGTTTAGGCTTAGGTGAGCTGGGTCGGGTTGATTGGATCTCGGGTCTAGACTTGAGTCGGGTCTCACGGGTCGGGTTGGATTCTGGACTCCAACTGGGTCTTGGGCTGCTGGGTTGTATTGGTGATTTAGGCCTCATTTGGCTAGTTGATTCGGGCTTGAGTTTAGGCCTGCAAAACAGTGTAAATATTTGTTAATAATAATAATAATAACAATAAGAATATTTTTTAAGACCGGTCAAAAACGGGTGTCTACAGAACTCTTGTTTAACTGTGGTTTTTACAGAAAGCAAACATATTTTGGGGTAAATTGTTGTTCTACGTTTTATCTAGTCGTCTTTCTGTTTGTGAGCGAGTGAATTTGAATTTCTTTGTGTTGATTTGCACTCTAGGTGTTATTGAAGGGAAAACATTCAGCCCCAATTTTGATTTCTTCTCTATCGTCGTCTCCAGGTACTTTCTAAATATCTTCTTTGTATTGAAATAAAAATGGGTAGCATTTGAGTTATCATCTTATGTTCTCAATTTCTTATTATTTTCTGTAATGAAAATTTGAGTTTAAAATGCAATGTTTGGTTCTCTGTAACAAACGTATGATACACATATACCATATTTTGAATGCATGTTTGAGTTTAAACATTTTGACTGCTTGGACTGGTTTGAACTTCTATCCAAGATTAATAATTGTTAAAATTTAAACCATCTGCTGCTGCTATGATGTACTCGAAATGTTTCTTTTAGTTGTTGCTATGTTATATTATTTTCTCAACTGGAATTAATAATTTAAGGGTTTATCATAATTTATTTATTTGTATAATAATTTATAATTTAAATTGTGAAATTAAATGTAATGATTATGTTTAGTTGCTTACTTTCTCTATACTATTAGCAATTAACATTTGAAATGAATATTTTAGAAATACGAAATGGATAAGAGTTGAATGGATTTGTCAAAGGTAAGTGAAGATCATCGAAATGGAGTAGAAACTTTTCTAAATTTTTTTTTGTAAATGCAAGCCAGAATAATATGATTCTTTGCCTTTGTAAGAAGTGTGCTAACATTAATTGACACATTCGTGAAGTTGTTTACAAGCATTTAATTGTTTTTGGCTTTGTTTGAGGCTATAAAAATAGATATTCCATGGTTAGTTTACACGTCATAGATCTTCTTCTACGAGTAATTCCACTTATCCTCTCAATTCTCATCATCGATCTGTTAAAGAAGATGGCATGAAGGGTATGTTGCAAGATGCATTTAATATGCAAAATTATCATCAATCTTTTAGAGAAGATGATTGTGATATTGGTGTTAATGATTTCATTGAGATGCGAAAAAGTGAACGTGATGAAGAGCCAAATGGAGAAGCAACAATGTTTTATAAATTGCTTAATAAAATGAATGAACAACTTTATGAGGGATTGAAATATTCAAAACTCTCCATTTGCGCTTGTCTTTTCCACTTAAAATGCTTTGGAAGGTGGATTGATAACTCTTTTATGCAGTTATTAGAGTTTTTGAGAGAAATGTTTCCTTTTGCAAAAATACTTGAATTATGAAAATATATGAAGAAAATGATAAATGATTTGGGCCTTAGTTATGAGAAAATTCATAGTTGTCTGAATGATTGCATGTTGTTTTGGGCTGATAAAAAAAACCATGAGTCATGTCATGAATGTGGAAAATCTTGATGGATGATGAGAACGTAGAAAATAAGAGTGGGGGCGAAGTTGAAACACCATCAAGAAAAAAAGTCAATAAAGATTTTGCGATATTTTCCTTTAGTATCTAGGCTTTAAAGACTTTCATGTCTTCAAAAACTGCTTAGTCTATGAGGTGGCATCATGATGGATGAACCAATGATGAATTATTAAGGCATCCTGCTATTTGTTTAGCTTGGAAGTTATTTGAAAAAAAAATTTCAAGTTTTTCAAGAGATCCCCGAAATATCAGGCTCGATTTTACATATGATGGGTTTAATCCTTTTAAAATCATGAATACTTCGTATAGTACTTGGCCTGTTCTGCTTGTTCCATATAATTTACCTCAGTAGATTTGCATGAAACAATCATCCTTTATCTTATCAATGATAATCCCTAGTGAAAAAGGTCACGGGAATGATATTGACATTTATATACAACCTCTTATTGAAGAGTTGAAACAATTATGGTTAGGTGTCGAAACATATGATGTATTGAAGAATGAGAACTTTAATTTACGTGCAACTTTATTATGGACTATTAATGATTTCCTTGCTTATGAAAATCTATCTAGTTGGAGTACCAAATGTTGTTAATCTTGTCCTTGTTGTGTTGCACAAATATGTTCAAAGTGGATATATAATGGAAATAAGTTCTCTTACATGGGACATCATTAATGTTTAGGTGAAAATCGCAGATTTAGAAATCAAAACAATATTTTTGATGGTGATATAGAATATAGAGAAGCTCACCAACAAACAATCGTGTCTGATATCTTGTCAACCACCGAACACGCGATCAAAGAAAAAAACAAAGTAGATTTAGGACTGTGATGTTGAACAATATAGTGATGATGAGTTTAATGAAGAGGATGATCCAAATGAGGTGGATTTGTGGAAAAAAGATGTATTTTATTCTATTTGTCTCATTGGAAGTATCACATTTTGAGACATAATGTTGATGTCATGCACTTTGAGAATAATGTTTGTGAGAATATTATCGTGATCATTCTCAATGTCGATAGTATATCTAAAGATAATATAAAGAGTCAACTTGACTTAGTTTACATCATAATTTGGTGTGATCTTTATCCCCAAGTACTTTTTAATGAAAAAATCTTGGTTACTGCTTTCAATTTTTCTGACGTCGACGAAAGAAAAAGAAGCTTTTTTTGCACTATGTTGAAGAATATAAAGGTCCCAGATGAATATGCATACAATATATCTCGATGTCTCAGTGTTAAAGATCGAAGATTTATTATCTAAAGTCATATGATTATAATATATATTTATACAAGATTTATTGCCAGTTACTTTACGTGGTTTATGTCGAATAATGTGACGTCTTGTATAATTGAACTTTCCAATATAATGAAAGCTACTTGTGGGAAGGTTCTGATGGTTGAAGAACTTGAAAAGGTGCAAGACCTAGCCTCCTTGACTTTTAGCAATTTGGAAAAGATATTTCCACCTTCATTCTTCACAATTATGGTGCACTTTCTGGTTCATCTCTCTTTTGAATCTAAAGTTGGTGGACTAATTTTCTATCGGTGAATGTATCCTATAAAGAGATGTTAATTGAATCATATGTATTCAATCACTATTGCATATACCTTTTAATTACAAGTATTTATATATTGTTGCATTTCATGTCTAGGTTTTTGTGCAAATTGAAGTCTTATTGTTATAATAAGCGTTATCCGAAAGGATCAATTGTTGAAGGGTATTTGGAAGAGGAGTGTACGATTTTTTACTCTAGATATTTGAAAGATGTTGAAACAAAATTTAATAGACCAAATAGAAATGAAGTTTTAATATGAGTAACTTAGCTTAGACTTATTTATTTAAAAGTTATGGTGAACCACTCGACAAAGTTGAAATTGCACATTTAGATGATAAGTCTTGGGTACAATCACACTTATACGTTCTTTTCCATCACAATTCAATAGACCCCTTACGCATGTAAGTTTAACAATAAAAATCCTAATGTATTCATTTAATCTTTTATATTTATCATTGTTTAACCATATAATCTAATTTACAGCGAGTTTAAAGAAGTCTAGAGATCTCGTTCATGCTCCTGACGATTATATCAGTGAGAGGTTCATAAGTTATTCACAAAAACTTTTCATGAATGGTTAGGGAAGACGGTGAGAAAATAAATCCTTGCATGATGCATAGATAACTAATTCACCTTTCATGCGTATTATGTTTGGAGTGGGAGAGAAGTTAATGAAGAGGTTAAATGGTTTTCTCAAGGTCCGAATAGAATTGTTAAAAGATATAATGCCTTCCTCATTAATGGGTCCAGGTTCCAGACAAAATCTCATAAAATATCGAAGAGGAAACAAAATTGTGTAGTAATTATTACTTCTTCAACTACAAGTTATTCTAGTTCTAGAGACAATCATCTTGTGGATGGAGATGTAGAATATTATGGATTACTTACAGACATTATTGAGTTGAATTATTGTGAAAAATGAAAGGTTGTGTTATTTCGCTATGATTGGGCTGATGTAACTAGGTTTTACAATGATGGACTTCTCTCGATTAATTCACACTAGTTAATAATTAATGGACGAGTCATATGCATATTCTTCTTAAGTCAATCAAGTTTTTTACTACCACGATCTAATGGATGATGGTTGGTATGTTGTTCCCCGTAATACCCCCAAATACTTGATAAACATCGAGGATGAAAATAAAGATGACATTGAAATAAGATAAAAAAAACTTTGCCTTTTGAAATAGAGATGAAATTGAAATAAGATAAAAAAAACTTTGCCTTTTGTAGTACAAAATTTAGATAAACTATCACAAGTATTACTTCACAACTCCAATGGGTTTGGGAAAACATGGATGAAGATTTTTATGAAAACTGATATGACATAAAAATGTAGTAAAATTTTATATTTTAATTGATTAATTTATAATATTATAACTTATTTAACTTATTACCGTTAGATATATTCATTAATAGCATTGTTATCACTAGTTACTAATATTATTGTTTGTTTATTGCATATATTACGCTTATGAAGAAATTAACTGATCTGCGAATTGTTTGAACTCGTCAAGTGGAGGAGAAAACAAATAATGAACAATTGATTGGTGTTGGATCTTTAGAACTTTTGAATATAATTGAAGAAACTGTAGAAATTGAAGGTAAAGTTCAACAATTTATTTAAATAGTGGCAGTTTTTTCTTATTGAATTGTTTTTGAAAACTTACACTGAATTATTTACTATATAGATGAAAATGGTCAAAGACGCAAGACTAGAGCTCGTATGACATTGAAGGAATTATACCAACTTCCTCTTGAAAGTTTCAAGTAATGACATCGGCCAGCCTATTGGGCCAGAAGCACGTGTTCTGTTTGGTTACTTAGGGGTGATTGCACGCAATGCTAATATTTTACCAATCAATTATGAGTCATTACGTGGGATGTCGAATAGTTGAAAAAAATCATGTTGTGCATTATATTAAGGTAATAATGTCATCGTCATAAATAATCTATTACAGTTTAATAGTGATTGATATTTACTTTGAACACTTGTGTTATTTGTAGGGGAAATTTTCTCTAGAGGTCTTAGAGAATTATTTGAGAAAGCGTTAGAAAAGAAATGGAGACACCAAATGACTTCCTTAAAAAAGAATTATTTTAAGAATAATATCAACCTTGAAGAAAAGCTGCAAAATGTCTCACCTGTAATGATCTGATATCAATGGGAAGATGTAGTCAGGTTTTGGAGTTCAA